ACCTGCCTGCCTGCCTGCCTGCCTGCCTGCCTGCCTGCCTGCCTGCCTACCCACACCTGGTAGGGAGGTAGGTAGGCAGGTAGGTAGGCAGGTAGGTAGGCAGGTAGGTAGGCAGGTAGGTAGGCAGGGAGGTAGGTAGGTAGGAAGGAAGGAAGGTAGGTAGGTAGGTAGGTAGGTAGGTAGGTCGGCAGGTAGGAAGGAAGGAAGGAAGGAAGGAAGGAAGGAAGGTAGGTAGGTAGGTAGGTAGGTGGGTAGGTTGGTCGGTCGGTCGGTCGGCCGGCCGGTCGGTCGGTCCGTCAGTCGGTAGGTAGCCGGCCGGCCGGCCGGCCGGCAGGCAGGCAGGCAGGCAGGCAGGTAGGCAGGCAGGCAGGCAGGCAGGCAGGCAGGTAGGTAGGTAGGTAGGTAGGTAAGACATGCAGTCATTCATGCATTTATGGATGCATGTATGTGTGGTTGCGTGTGTATGTGTATGGTATGGTACGGTACGTAAATAGAGGGGAAATGCAAATTCAAAATCAAGTTTTACCATAAATGTAGATGCGACTGCCAATGTAATGTAACTCTATCTGTAAGGTAAAGTCTGTATGTGTGCACATATCTATCTATGCATGTATGCATGTTTCTACATATATGTACACAAAACTACACAAATACAGAGAAGGGAAACCTCTCTGCTTCATTCGCTGTCGTTTGCTTTGATATGTGTGCCTGCATTTTGGCAAAAAAACGCGTTGAAAATGTGAGGTATGAGTGTTCAGGACCTGTGCTGTTTGCCGGTGAGCTGAGTCCCAGGCAGCGCTGAGTTTGCACCGTCCTCTTCCATTGCTCGGCAAGGACCCCATTGAACGGAAACTGTCTACAAACTGTGAAGACTTCCGCCAGAGTTTCGGCGGCTTCGGGGATCTGGGGTTATATACCAAGACAGCCCTTTGGGAAGTCAGTTGGGCCGGATTGAGCACACTTGACTTCGTTATGGACCGGCCGATTATTCGACTCAAGTCCCGAAGCGGATCCGCTGTTTTCAGCCAGGAGCTGTGGCCGAGCAATGGGCTGCAAGGATCCACCCTAAAAGTCTGGGGTATCAAAACGTCAGCCCGAACCCCCAGAAGATGCCCTGACTCCTCCATTCCCTCACTACAAGTAGCACTGCTTGGTGGGATCAGAAGCTCAGGGTCAAGTCACGCGAGCCGACACCAGATTTCCAAGTTTCCCGAGCGCCAAAAAGCCGTGGATGCGAAGCCTTTCACTTCGCGTAGCTGTGCGGAATCTGGGAGGCACGACCGCACAGTACGCCACGGGAAAACGACCCAAGCTAGAATGTTCGAAGGCTCCTTGCAACAGCCTGATGCAAAGAACTGCTCGGAGAAGGGCCCAGATCTCGATAGGCAGCGATGTCAAATCCACTCGAAATTTCTTAAGCATCGCACAGGCATAGATACGAATACCCCGGTATCAATCAAAGGAGGTGTGTGGGTGTGTGTGTGTGTGTAAACACACGTAAATAAAACAATCATCAAATATATATATATATATATATATATATATATATATGGCACTCGCACTCGACCAAGGCAGGCGAGGATCCTGTATGTATATATATATATATGTAGTAGTAGTAATAGTAGTAGTAGTAGTAGTAGTAGTAGTAGTAGTAGTGGTAGTAGAGTAGTAGTAGTAGTAGTAGTAGTAGTAGTAGTAGCAGTAGCAGTAGTAGTAGTAGTAGTAGTAGTAGTAGTAGTTTTGCCTAGTAGTAGTAGTAGTAGTAGTAGTAGTAGTAGCAGTAGTAGGAGCAGCATTTCTAAAGATAAAAACACTAATTGTCTCAGTTCTTGTAATAATGGTGTTGTAGTAGTAGCAGTAGTAGTAGTAGTGGTGGTGGTGGTAGTAGTAGGAATAATACAAGCAATGGTAGTCATAATAATGACAGTCGTCGGCGTAGTCGTATCAACAGTAGTACTAATGTATAGTAGGAATAGTGATAGTGGGCATACTATAATCGTGGCAGTTGTAGTCAGGAAGTCATAGGAATGACCGCAGCAACAGGTAATGATAATAATAAAAATAGAAACACTACTCGCATTGGTACTAGTCGTACTGGTGTCGCAGTAGCACTGGGGGGGAATAGTAGTAATGACCGTGGCAATAAGAACAAGAACAACGATATTAACATTTATAACAACAAGTGTACTAGTCCGTAGTACTTGTGTCGTAACAGTAATCGTACTAATAGTAATAGCAGTAATAGCAGCAGTAATATTCGTAGTAGCAGTAGTACTAGTAGTAGTCGTAGCAAAAAGTCGTAATAGTAGTAATAGCAGTAGTAACAATAATCATAATCGTAGTTCTAGTACTAGTCGTAGTAGTAGTAGTAGTAGTAGCAGTAGTGGCACTAGCAGTAGGAGTGGCAGAAATCGTAGCAGTAGTAGTAGTAGTTGTTGTTGTTGTTGTTGTAGCAGTAGTGGCACTAGCAGTAGGAGTGGCAGAAATCATAGGAGTAGTAGTAGTAGTAGTAGTAGTAGTAGTAGCAGCAGCAGTAGTAGTAGTAGTAGTAATAATAATAATAGTAGTAGTAGTAGCAGTAGCAGCGGCATGAATTCACAGGCTGCAACTACTATATTTTGCCACATTTCTGAGTTCTCCTTGTTTGGTTTGCTTGTGATCTCTAATTATTTTTTGGGCCCTGCTTGATTCTTGATGCTACCCCCTTCACAAAGCAGTCCATCAGCAGCGGCTGCGTAACTGTAGGGCAAGGCTTGCACTGATGATGCAGCTCTCTTGCTGTCGAGGAGCGCCAGGTTCGTTTCCGGCATGGTGCCAAGCTCAGGTGCCTGCCGACAGCAGGCGCAAGCACGTGAAACAGATTGTGCCACTTCTCCTTGTTTGTCGTCCAACTGACTGTGAGGTTCTTCACTCGCAAGGAGAATCATGATTAAATGCTCCCACTGCATGATCCTGCATGAAACCATTGCATCCCTTAGCGACGGATCGCGACTATCTGACAAACTCGTACTCTCGTCCAAGGCGGCGCTATTGCAGCTGGGTGGCCAACTCTTGGCTACCTCGGGGCAACTTGATTACCGGGCTTGTATCTCCGACTTGGCAGGTGCAAGGTCCTACTCGGCCCCAAAAACCACAGTAGGTTCCCTTCTGAACTCAATTCGACCCTGGTTCTAGCTTTGATTCTTGTGGCCTGGGTTTCTGTGTTGTGTTCTGTCAGCTGTTGCGCCGCCCGCGGTGCCTGTCTTGTGGTCTTGCCGCGGCATCATTCCCCATGACCGAGTGGAGAGTAATCAGGGGGCCGCTGTTGAGTCACTTGTACCTGGTGTTCAAGTGTAGTCCCTTGCAATCACTGCAGTTTAGTTCTCCTGACCAGCGCAGTTGGCATGTCATCCCTGCCAAAGCACAAAACTGCTCATGGTGAAACTTAAGGAATGCCCCCAGTGTCATCACATTCCTTTCTACTTTCAAAACATGCTTTCCGGAATGCCGCTGCTTCGTCCTGCTGTGATGGAGGCTCTTACGGGGTATGCGGTTGCAAGGAACTGCTACCCGCCCGATTTTATACTCTACTAGACTCTACTATGTATGACTGTGCGCTGCCGCTTGACCCCTTGCCCTGATCTGGGACGCAACTGCCGGGGATCAGGCCAGGAACAGCAGCCGACCTCTTCGGATATACCTGAGGGTGCAAAGTGATTCCGGACATCAGGATGAAGCCTACAGTAGCGGAGATTTGCGAGAGCATGACCTATGGATCGAGCTTGACTCTAAATCGAGATCTGTGACATGAGCCCAGTACACGACAATCGTGCAAACCCTACTTCAATTTTCGCATGACATGGTCGGACTTGTTCCGACTGCTTGCAAGACCGGGAAACCGGATGTCCCCAAACACCTTAGGTGTTGAGGCCGGTGCAAAAAATGCATTGGGTCCAGTTTTGGACGTAGCACAAGATGACTAGAGGATTGCACATTCGACGATTCCAGTTTCGATGGGCAGCTCCTGTCCTGATCTAGGTTGCTCCTATCGTCCCGATCGGACCCATGTTGATCGACGAGTCGGAACTGTTGCAACGATTGCGGTGCCCAGCGCTTCCTGCAAGGCGCCTGGCCTCACCGACGTGTAGCGACGTCCTTCGGGAACCCGGATTGGACGAAGATCTGTCTTTGGCGTCTTTGGATGCGAATCTGGCAAGAGACCCAGATTGCCCAAGGCTCGGCCCAAGCCCATCAGGTCGGAGTCTGCTTGAGCGGCCAGGTGACAGCTGCCTGTCAAAGCCCCGGCCAGGGGAATCCTGCCGAGAGAACCATGACCCCACCCGATCGACGCGCTCCAGGCCATCGTCGTCAAGGCGTCGTTCAGATCTGCGGGTGTGTCTAGCACGAGGCCAATGAGGACGTTCGAATCCTTGCTGCGAGCTGCTAGCCACACAGATAAAAGTTGCACGTCAATCTTGGGCTCAACGTGTCAGGTAAAAGTAGGGGCAAAAGACAGATGCAGCAAGGAGCATGGATCGAACATGATGCGATTTCATACTCCAACACTTTGAAAGGTCAAGTCCATTCAAGTCCTGTCTCGGCGATCTAGAGGCAGTCAAGGTTCGTTTGTCGTAGGACAAGACATGCGATGTCATTGTTAGTACCGGAGAATGAAGAAGTGCACCCACATGCGGGCATTTACAACTATTTACAACCCTTCTGTGCCAGCACAGGTTTCGATGAAAGGCTGCGCAGGATTTTCATTCCGAAGTGACGAAAGCACTTTGTAGCTGGGGAGTGGTATGCAGAGATGCGATTCCTGAGGTGCACGGAACAATGCGGGACTATGACAAGACCACCATAAACCCTTTTGCCTGACGGGACCGCAGGCGTGTGTGCATGCGTATCCACGTTTCTGTATAGTTTGTGTGCAAGGACGCCTCGTAATTCGCGCAGACACACGGACGTCGTAGCGATGAAGCAGCAAGCCTGCGGCCTGCGCGGCTCTGTAGTTCTGCATAAACTGCGGCGGCAGCACGACGGCACCGTTGAACCGGGAGGTGGAAATGCACGGAGTCGCTCCGCAAAGTACGCCGTGCACAGCGATTGTGAAGAAAGGCCGCTTTCAACGGCGGGATTTCGAGACATTCCATCCACTTCACGAGCAACATTGGGTTTGACAAAGAGTTCGGCATCCCGAACGGACACGGCCGGTGGGGAGACTGCAAATTAGTCGAAAATGATTACCACAACCCTAGGAGCTCCGGCGCCACCTACCTAATCTGATTCGTTTACCCTCAAAGTTAGAACCCCATAGCGCTTGCTTGGTATAACTTGCATCTAGTAAGTGCTCTCACATCCTTCACTCACTGGCCGGCCCGTTGCCAAACTACACCAGCACTACACCCGATGCTTCGCACATGCACGCTTCGTCAAGGCTCTGGACAGCATCTCGTCAAGATTTGTGCCCTGCAGGGATTGTTCAATCAGCGTCACAGTCTTCCTCCTCGGATAAAGTGCGGCAATGCATGCAAGCCGGCAACTTGCAGTCTTTAGCAAGCATGAGCTCAAGGTGAAACTTCTGCCAACACCCCATCCCTGAGTACACGATGCCATGTGATGCCAAGTAACAGCGACTCTTCTGTGGCCTTGTGAACGAATCGCTCCAAGGTCTGCATCGCATCGGCTATATGCAGTGTCGTTGACTCTGTGCAGGAACTCGTTGGGTTCATACCGGCACAGGCATCCTTGCTGTTGCGGGGGTCCTGCCAGAAGGAAACCCTCTAGCTAGCGACACCGATCGATCAACGATCAAACTGGAGTAACAGGTATGATGCCTCATTAGCATAACTCGCATGACGCCTTCTATCAACTTCTCACACTATCCGTTGTCCTGTTCCTTTCGCAAGCCGGAGACAGCCGGGGGCTCTGTCGGAGTTTCAAGCAATTGCGGTTGAGACTTCCTCGGTAGACGAGAAGGGTCGAGAAGGTGCAAAGTGAACATGTGAGGATCTTAGCTTTGGCTACTCCGTATATCCAAGGGGCACAGAGGCGTTTGGGGCCTCGATGCATCCCTCACCGGTGGCGATCCCATGGTCCAAATCACGCATCTGCTCGGACATCTCGGACTGGGCTGCAGGCCCAGTCTGCAACCCTTGCGCCGCTGTAAGTTTCTGCAGACTTTCCGACAGGCTGTCGACTCGCATGGCCAAAAAATCGAAATAGTCGCGAGACAGGTCAAAAAGCTCTTCTTGGTTCTGCATCGTTCGAACCATGTTGTACTTGATGAACCGAGGGGCCGTCTTCGAATCATGCACCCACCTGCTGAGTGGCGCGATGAACTCCTGTGCCTCGACTGCACCCTCTCTTTGCACATCGATCATTTCGAAAAGTTGCTGTAAGTCCACTTCATCAATGTCCATGACACGTAATCGGCTCTGAAGTTCGGGATCCTTGCGGGCCCCCTCCATCAGCTCGTCTAGTGTCAGACGGCCACTCCCATCGGCGTCTATCCGATTGAAAAGCCTTTGGAGTTTCATTCTGTCTTCCTCCACGTTTTGGTCCATCTCTTGTGCCAGGTTCAACACATCTTGCTCGCGAGCTTCTGCAAATGTGTCTACAACCTGTTGAGCAAGGCACTTCCGCTAAACATCACTATACGAGACTGGGAGCACCCTGGCCTTACCATGCCTTACCTAAGCAACCACGAAAGAAATTGTCATCAGCCAAGATACTACGGCAACAATGAGATTCCTCAGCTGTTCTTTCGGTGTATACGCTAAGTTGTTTTACACGAAGACCAAGTCTCGGATCGAAGCTGGAAAAGAGAAACGTCCAAAGGCAAAGGTTCAAAGGATGTACTCAAGGACCACCAAGGTTCAACACGCCAAAAACAAGTGTCAGCAGCGATCCCATAAAAATGAAGGCTGTGTAGGGATTAGATTCAATAACCGGTACAGCAATATCACCCCAACTGTCGCCTGCAATAACGGTCTTGAACAGCAGCAGGTTGGCACGCATGACAGATGCTACTGCTCTGCTGCAGTCATCGCACTGATCAAAGGTCATATCGCGAATGATCGGGTGAACAATCTCTACCTTGGCAGCTCTGGACTAAGGACAAAGCCACGAAGTTCGATCTTGTGGCATCCATAGTGGCAAGCAGGAGAACTAAAAGAATGTTGCTGCGACAGTTACACAGCTGTAGTCAAATGCTGCCAAGCTACCATGAGCATGGCCCAAACGGTCATTATGCCGGACAAGAAAACGAAGGACCAAAGCAAAGCCTTCAGGCACGTAGCCATCATTGTCACTAGCTTGTGCAGCTCGCGCAGGGCACGTATCCGCCGCAGAAGCCTCATCAGCCGAACGATCCTGACAAGCCGTAACGCGCGCAGGATGCCGAGGTTTCCAACTATATCGCCTGGTGCCACGAAGTTCAGCAAAAGCTCCAAGTAACCGCACAGAACAATAGTAAGGTCCAGGAGAACGAGCCAGTCTCTGAAGACAGAACAACCCTGCAGACAGGTCAGCACCACAAGCTCCAAGGTGTAGAGGCCCAGACAAAAATCTGAGAGAATCGCAAGCTCGAGCCCGGGCTCTTCCCCAGCGGCTCTCGCATCGATGTCTGCGCAGGTGCAGTAAGCATCCAGCCTTATAGGCACCAAGCAGCCTTCTGAACGTTTCCGTCTCAGAACCAACCCTGACGGGGAACAATGCAACCAAGGCGCAAAACGACCGCGGCCATCAGGTTCGAAATACAGCTGCTTGTCATCACATCGATGCCGATCTTACGATACTTCTCTTTCTGAGTGTGCGTTCTTTCTGGCTCATCTTCTTTTCGAGCCTTTATAAACTCCGCACGGACGTTGACAATGCTGCCACGTCTTCGGGCAGAGTCGGATGTGAGAGATGTTGGTGAGTGAACGCCGGCGGGCGATCCTGGCGACGACCTTTGTCGCACAGGCGAGGCTGAAGGTTCGCTGAACGCATCGCTGGCTTCGCCCTCACTGAAGAACGGAGTCACAGGGCGCAATGGTTGGCCACTGCTTTGCGGTCCCAGCGAGGGCGACATGAAACTCTAAGACTGGGGCTGTCTGCACATCGACACTGGCTTGAGCCAAGAAATGCGTGTCGCTGATCTGGTCTTCCACACGGACAGCCATAGAAGACTTACATCAGAACCGCCACCCGCCTTCACGGGGGGCCCATTCACCTCACATCAGCGCGCAGAAGAGGCAATGGCATAGAAAGCGAGGCAATGAATCTTGACAACGTGTCAAGCAGGAAAACCAAACAGAACATACTCCGAATGTGCAGGATGGGAAATCTCGCACCACGGCATGGGCTTTGGCAGACTGCACCAATATGACATGTCGCAGCCTGGACAGTCTCGACGGGCGGCATGAAATAAGCCAACCTATCAGGGGTACCACATTGTCTCTCCGCTCGATTTAGCTAAAACTAGCTCCCACAGACTCCGAACCGAATGGGGGAGTCATGACACTGCTCTTCGGTGCTGCTGCGGCAAATCAAGAATCAAGACTTAGGCCGTGGCATGCTGGCTGGATCCATACCCCTGCAATCACAACGACAAATGGTTACATCTTTCCAACTGACAGTCCACTTCTTTATCGGGTTTCTGTCCCGCAAACGTTGGTTCCCTTTGTGCGGGATGTGTTAGCATCTGGTTGCGGCACTCACAATTCGGCACAGTCAGGTGAGGTCACAAAGGACCCAGACAACTACAATTATGCAGATGGCTTCTGCGAGCTGCGAAATCCCTTGGCACTGACAGCACTCCGTCATTGACTTCAGCTGTCGACACGCAGCCAGAGGCCGCTACAAATCTACTGGTATTCTACGTGCTTGATTAAAACAAGCATGGGATCAGAAACTTATCACAACCACAGCTCATCAGGCTTCAAGGCTCAGAAGTCGCATGCGACCTCTGCGTGTGTGCTCGTTCCGCCTTCGCTGTGGGCGAGGCCACAAGGCCGTCAGGACCCGCAGAGTTAGGGCACTTGTCTCGCTATCTCGCTGGCTTCAATCGTGTTGGAGTTGATGCTACCAAAGTAGAAGGTATTTGGCCTGGTACGGCCTCATGGAAGCCGTGTGTTTGCTGCCGTGTTTTTCTTCTGCGACGCTTGAACCTGCATGATGGATCGGAAGCTGCAACTTGCAGTGGCAACTTCGTTCGCGTCCGCTGGGCCTCATTAAAACATGTTAAAACTGCACCATTCTTTAATCAATAAGCCCACTGAAGCCCCAACAGCTGATGGCAAATGGATGTTGTGATATCACCATAACCAACCTTGTGCTAAGATGTGCTAAGACTGCGTAAGGCATAGGACACTGTATGCCCTAGTCTTTGGTGATCATGCATGTTGCGAGGCTTGGCACACCATGGTTTTGGTACTGTTTTGGTCTGAGCGAGCGGGGAAGCCGCTCCGGAAGCCGCTCCCGAAATGCCGGTTTGGAACCCGCTCCGGAAATCCGCTCCGGAACCTGCTCCGGAACCTGGGTTCAGGAGGCGTCTTAAGCCCCCCGCGCCGAGAGGTGCGCCCCTGATTAGAGGCTGTAAGGGGCATCAACAGTCGAAACTTGGAAAAAGATACTTTCTTTCGCCAGGGCTGTGGTGTAGAGGGTTGCCCCCTGAAAAAGATACTCTCTATTCTATTCTATTCTCCGGGGCGTAAGGTGCTGGTCAGGCACCCCGCGCCGTGAGGCGCACCCCTGTTGTGGGGCTTTGTAGGGGTAGAAGAAGAAGCTACGAAAAAAGATACTCTCTCTCTCTCTCTCTTTGCTTTGCAAAGCACTCTCTCTCTCTCTCTCTCTCTCTCTCTTCTTCCATAGGGCATGAGGGGCGTGCAAAACCCCCCGGCCACTAGGGCCCCCTCTCTCTCCCCCTCTCTCACGCTCGCGCTTTTTACACGGGATTGGCAAGAGCGCGTCCAAAGCCACACGCCCAAGACTCCAGGACGGAGCCGGCACCGAGCTTCTTTGTAATCGGCTGTTGGCACAGCTTCGTCTTGGAGAGCCCGAAGTGCCTACCTACCAGAACTGACGACACCTCTTCAAATCTTGGATCAGGAGGTGATGCCACGTTTGATTCGATGCTTGCTTTCATGCAGAACACAATTAAACGGTCCGCTGCTGGGAAGCGTCGACACATGAAAAGACTTAAGACACCTGTCTTGTCCCAGAGGCGGACGCAGAATTTCAGCCTCTTTGCTTGGCATGGGGCTTCCTATGTCCTTTCAGGTGAAACGCTGTGCCATGCTGAATGCATGCTCTTGCCTTTGCAGCACTTGCACATAATGGCCTGCATTCTCATGCAGGGCTGGGCTCCAACTACTGCCCGGCCGGGTGGCATCCATAATGGATGGACGTGAATTGGCTACCGGTTTTGTGCGTTCTCATCTTAGGCAAGTCTTGAGGAACATGAGCCTTTTGTTGGTGCCAGTTACCATTGTCTTACGGGACTCAGGAAGGAAACGGAAAAGTGTGACCTCTTCGCATCTCCCTTTCGTGGCAAGATGCCTCGGATGGTAGCCTGAGCAAGACAGTCCATAGTCAGGCGTCGCCATCAAAGGCCACCGAGCAGATCTTTCAAGGCGGAGAACTTCTGAGCCGACCTGCGCCAATTCAAAGCACAAGCTTGCCTGGCCCAGTATGCAAGCCGCGGCTAGATATCCAAGTCCAGAGACGCAGGTCCATTGCGTAGATATGCACTGCTGCAAAAGGTTTGCCGCGCGCCTGAACGCATTTTCTCTGCTGATTGTGTACTGCATATCCATTTCGGCCGCCTGCTTCTGTTCTTGCCTGGAGGCGCGTATGACACAAGACTGTGGCAGTGATGGGGCTACGAATCGAACGAGAGGGACAATTGAGCCGCGTGTCCTCTGGCGCGCGATATCCACCTCAGCTGGAATCCGAGACCAACCGCATAGCAACGCCACAAGAAGCCCGGAGTTGATCTGCTGGCTCTATCCCCCCCCCAAACTTACTCTTTCGGACACGGACTTGTTGAAGGCCACTCTTTCAGGCTCAGGTCCGAACTTCCCGCGGTGGAGGAGGCTCCGCCAGGACCGCTTTGTGGCACGTCAGTGTGGCCTAGGTCAACAAACAGAAACCGGCCCAGCTTGACGTGAGCAGACAGTCTAAATACACATGGGCTTGGACAGACGAATGCAAACCCTGCCATCCACGCAAGTACAGTCACTCCAAAACATGCTCAGGCTGGGTGCTGCCACACGCAGGCCACTGTGCCACGAGCTGTGTGGAGAGGGAGACCTTGCCAGGTGTGACACACAAACCACAATCACGCAGGATCACGCAGGCTCAGCCCTGCGATGAAACAAAAATGAAACAGAGAGGTTCAGCCCCACGACTCCGTCACTCTGGAGCGGGGGCTTTGAGCAGCTGCCGCGACTCAAGGCTTCTCGAGAAGAGGGCCGCGAAAGCTAGGGGAAGGAAGCGAAGCAGAGAAAGGGCGGGCCGACTCGTCAAGCGAATCTATTGCAACAGCACTGCGGATCGCTCGGGTGTGGCGGCAGCTTGGCATGATTGTACAAATGAGAAATTGCCTGTCTTGGCATTTTCGGGCCGGCACATGCCAACTAGCTTGCTGCCTCCTAGTGGGCCAGGGACATTTTTCCAGTGATGTGTTCGGAGTAGTCGAGGCAACCCACTGTCTTTCCCAAATGCGGAGAATTGGTGCGAATTCCACTAGCAAAAGATGCAGAAACATGGGTGTCATGCGCGAGCCCGGAAATGCTGATACACCCCACAACACTGTTCAAACCGGCGCAAGAGTGCGTGCAACTGCAAGGTTTACCACGGCTCAGTGTGCAGAAATGTAAATTGTCAGAAAGTGCAACCGGGCAGATCCATGTGCACTAAAACAAGTTCTTGCTAGTTACTCTACACCAAAGTCGCCATGCAGCAAATGGCTGCCGGAAACTAGTACTGAATCCGATCTTGTAGAGCCGAGACAGCATATATGATAGCATATAGGCGCCGCACACAAGCATTTCAAAAGCGCTGGACAGAAGACAGTCAGGGGCGAAGGGCGGGGACCTCAGCCCCCCAGCTTATCCAATGACGCAACGCAACGGGGCGCCTCCCCTCTTAACGATCTCTAAACAGCAAAAGAAGAACATGCGCGCGTTTCCGACCTGGTGGCTGACCTAAATTTCGCTGAATTTAGCCGTTTGCTTTATGAAGCGAATTGCTATACAACCCGCGCAAGCTCCACGGAGCTAGCTTTCGTGACTGCTTGGCTGATCCTTCCGCGCCTGGGAGACCCGTCGGAGTCATCTTGCAGGACCTTCTTCTTGGCATGCTGCTTGGGGGCCTCAACTTCGGCCGTTGCAATGCTGGCGAAAGCGCGGTTTCTGTCCAAGCTTCGATGTAACGCCTGGCAAAATTCATGAGCGCTTCTTCCTCGTTCTCTGTCAACCTGTTGTGAAACGTGCCACACTCTTCAGAAGGGATCGAAGCACGCAGACACAACCAGTCTTCAGCTTTCCATCTTCAGCTGTGGAGCTTCTCCTTCTTGGTCTCGAGGCCAAGAGCCACACGGATATCTACAGGTACCGGCGGTGGCGCCGAGCGAATGGCGCGCAACGCTCGGTAGTAGAGCTCCGTGTTCTCCTTTTCGAAGTTCGGGCCAACTTACAAGATAGTGGTTGCTGGGGCACAAGCTAGAATTGGGCTAGCAAAAATTTGTCTGTCTGAGCCCACCAGTCATTTTAAACTTCCCCCGAGCTGGGACCAGCATTGAACGGAATCGGGAAAGATCAGCATAGCCTGCAACAAAACCAAACTTAAGAGGCTGCTTCGTGCCCTCGGGCCACACGCGAGTCAATAAAGAGAGCGAGGCAATTGAAGCACTCCTCAATCCTGGGCTCAGCACCGGTACCAGTCACATGTCTATGCACAGCGATCTGTCCACATCCGGACATACAAGCGCGTGTGACAACAACTTCGGACATGCGCCTGATGCAGGAGAAACTGAACTGAACGCTTGACTTGTGCTGTTGTGCTGCTGTCGGCGCAAGTCGATTACCTGCACTGTGCAGAATATCTGCACTCCGACATATGCCAACACCATCAACATCAGAGAATCTCAACATTTGCTGGAACCGTTCGTTGACAGCGCCGTCCAGCCACCATGTCCGCCAAGAAATTGCAACGCTGTTCCAGCATTTCCATCCGCCTGCCCAAGATCGTCAAGAGCACTATGTAACTACCAGTAGTATTCAACTACTTGCTTAACAGCTGTACATGTATACACATACATGCACCATGACTGTTTGATACAATGTCAAGAATCTTGACAAAATCTGCTTAACAATCAGGTTGGAGTAGACTGTTTATATGTGTTTATATATATATATACACACCCATCAATCTGTGTCTAGGGACCCTTCACGACCTCCTCAGTTCTTCATTCCAGCAGAGGCGCTTCATGAGACTGTCGGACCAGAGTGCGAGCTTGGTATAGTCCTTTGGGTTGATGTCCTCGCTAGGCGGTATATGCCATAACTGCATATAACTGCACACATGGATGCATAGACCACGTAGAAATATAAATACGACGCGGTTGAACAGGGAAGGAAGAGAGCATGTGAAGGGCGAGAGGCACCCTAGAGGTAGTGGGGCAGGGAGAGGCAGAGGCACGGAGCCTGAGACGGGCAAACAGAACGGAGACAAAAACGGAGAGCAGACTCGTTTGGGCAGTGCAACGATGTCAGATTCCCTGCTGCACCAATCTTAGGGCTGCAGGTAACGTGAGAATGGATTACTACATGAACATGCAGACTTATCATGTCAAAATGTGTGCAAAGATGGGCAAGGAACAGAACGAATCCTCCAGATTGCTCCAGAAGGCATGTATGGATACATGTTGCCATATGTGCATGCAGGCGTCATGCAGCACACATATAAAATGTAAACATACATCAAGAATTGTGAGGCTAGATCATGAGAATGCACAGCACCGACGATCTTAATGCAACAGTTCACTCAATATTGAAATCGTGCCAGCCACGGCAAGTGCGCGTACTCACCTTTTCTTCGTTTTCTGTTGAACATGCGGCTAACATGCGGGTAGATGCTAGCTTCTAGTTTGATTTGGCGGTGCTGACTCGATTCCTTTGTGATAATGTGAGGCGCTGGTTTCAGCTGCAGCACTAGCTCACTGGGGCTCATCGCAGCCTTGTCGTGGCATTGCTGAGCTACACAAGGCTTCGGTGTGCCGACTGTTCTTGTCCTGAATCAGGTCTTGCAGAAGTCTGCGACTGCGCATGCTCGGAGCGGCCGGTTTATCTCAAGGGCTGTAAGTCTGCAACAACATGCAACAAGTGAAGTCCAGGGCCAGTGAAGCTGACAAAGCTGCGACTGGGTTTTGCAAACAGGTGGCACCGAGCATCTGTTACGCGTGTCCAGTGCGCATTGGTGTTTCATTGTTCAGCAGATTTTACCTGCGAGCTCTGTTGTGTACCAAACTTCGGTTGATGGTGACCACGTAAAGAAGCAGGGGTATTGCTGTAGAACTTGTAAATGTTGCATGTCTGTGTCTGCATGCATCTGTGCGCACATGTACAGTTTGTGATGCGGTGTGCGCATGGTCTCTCCGGGCTCCGTCAGGTCTGCGCTTTCGCAGCCTTGCCTCCACGACACGGGCCAAAGCTCCAGGTCTGAACATGAAGCTCACGAAGAGCTTGGATCCCTCTAAGTACCTCTCCCCTCTGCTCTCTCCCTCCCTTTCCGTGTTGAAGCGGGCAACCACTGTCCTCAAGCATGGAAGTGATGCCTTCCACCAATCTGGGCTGCAAGTGGATGCCATAAGGTGATTATACACGTGCATAGCTGCGTTTCTTCACAGGACGAGATGTACCAGATAGATGTAGAAAGTTTCTGAACGAAATCGGCACGCCTGAAGCATCCCTGGTGGGACACGGGAGTATGCTCCACATTGGGAATGTGCAGCCAAGTTGCTCTGTGAAGCTCACCTGTCCGCCTTTGGTTTTTGCATTTGGGAACACGTGCCAATGTCTCAGCAGCGGCTGCATCGTCCATTCTTCAAGGTCTGTCGGTTCCCTGGAAGGACAGGATGATTCAAACTAGCAGAACCCGCCAAGCTGCGCCCCACGCGGTCAAAGAGTCGCATGAGATTCTCTGCATTCATCACAGGGACCTGTCGAGGCTCCGGTCACTGCAGGCCTGGCCCCGCCCCAGGCGCACCTCCAGGAGCCTCAGGATCTCAACGAATTCCTGTTCAGGTGCAAGCAGGTGCGTACAGTCGCCAGACTAGGAATTAGGAGTTCACGCGATTTTGGGATGGCCTCGCCTCGTTTTCCAAGGCTTTCTCCAAGTCCCTTAGACTCAACTCGCCGTCGCCGTCCTGGCTTCATACTCGGCTCATTCCTCTGGTGGGTTGACTTTGACGGTCGTGCCGCAAAGGCTGACCGAGGTGCTGTCTGGCTGTCGTTTCTGCAGTCTGCTCTAGTTTCACCATTGAGCCGACTGCCTCATCGATGAGCAACAGCAGGCGTCGTGCTCTGAGGCCGGACAGGCGTCCTTGTATAACACAGTGACAGAAAGTCGCTGGCTTTCAAGCCAACCACTGAACTGAGCTGTCTGGTGGCGATTTTCTCGCTCGATCTCCTTCAAAGCCTTCTCGAAAGCTCGCGATGACTCCAAGGAATCCTGCAAAACAGCGACCATGCCTAGCACGTGAACATCGAGCCATGATGCTGCCTGCCTGCACGATGTTTGAAACGATGCACGTCACCTCACCACAGAAGCTCTGGCATGACCAAGACTTGGGATTCGCTCAAAACTATAGGCCATAAGCGGCTTCAACACCATATCGTTGTCATCAAGAATTAGGCAGGCCAGGAAGGTATCTCTAGTCTACACCGTCGAAAATTAAGCCCATTTCAAGCGCACATAACAAGGCGGAGTGCCAAGCCAAAAGTGGTCATCAGCAAGAAGAAGGCAAAGAAGACTGCCTCAGTGGACCGGCTGAAAGCTGGCACTCTTGTCGGGAACGCACCTTCTGGAATGCGGTAGACGCAGAGTGTATCACGACGCATTACAGCGAGCATTTCATGAAAGTTCATGGTCTGTGTTTGGGCCGTGTGCGATGTGTGAACACAACAGAAAGGCGCTTCGGAGATGCCCTGTTCCGCCCCGCTCGTGATGTGGCCTGTACTACGCAAGGAGAACATTACCTACCTACCAGTGCCGAAACCTGAAACATTTAACCCCACATCGGAAAACAAAAGCTCAACAGCACCAAGTTCCAGCCACTGATCCATGTAGGTTTCTCGAAAATTCTGGAGTTGCTCCTCTTTGAACGAGGGCATCGTCGTTGGTCACAGGCGGTCCAAAGTGTGCGCGATGCGTCTCCCCCAAGTGTTGCGCGAAGTCAACCCACACTAAACCGCTAGCCGCCACGTGATCTGCCTGCTTGCTGATGTTCCTCTTCTTCGATGCTTACTCTGCCTACAGTACTCTAATGTCAAAAGTCTCAGACGGTGAGGCTAAGTGAAGTCCAACATCGTCAGACCTGCCCTAGTCCCGGCAAAAATGTGCTACAGGAAGGTTCATGGCGGAAGCTCCTGCTTTGCATGCCGAGCTGCCAAACCGGGATATTTGAAAACCACTGGTCGCCCAACGTGGTCCGCCCACTGTGCGTTGGTGACCACTTGAAACATGGTTAAGAAGCCTCGGGACAACAAACGACATGCACCGGTCGATGACGCGAGCACAGGCAAGTCTGAAAGCATGCATCCAGACATGCTTGATGCTTGCAAAAACAGCACTTCAACATTCGAGACTACACGTGCAGACAGCCCACAATCCTGCGCTGCAACTGAGAGACTCATCCAAATATTTCCAAAGTATTCGCGATTGTCGAAAGATGAGAACGGCTCAAACTCTTGAAGCGGATTGGTGCCTGCACAGAGGGTCGGAGCACAGTGCAGAGGTAGGGGAATTCGAGGGGTAAGATGTAGTCACGCACTGCGCTGAATCTGCCGGAAACTTCTTTCACGCTTCTGCTGGAGAGTCACTGCCGTTCCAGACCGGCGATCTCCCAATGACCTGCCGAGAAAGTGAGCGAAGGCGCAGGGCTGGAAGACATTGCAACGCTGAAAGGCCCTCAGCCTAAGGACCAGGCCTGCCGTGTGCAAGCACCAGCGGTCCATACGATGGAGAACAAGAACAAGATTGTCCACAGAAGTGTCCTTTCCACCACAACAGACCGTAACATATGGAGCGGCAATCAAGGACTTCGGCTGCTCTGTGCCCAGAGTACCACGAGAGTCCTGGCCGCCTTGCTTGTGCCACCAAGCAATACGATCAGCTCTTTTGACTTCGACATGCTCTTGAAGGCACGGATGAGCCGAAGCAACCTGTCACGCAGAATGACGCCAGTACCTGTACCTTGTTTGTGATGACCAGTAATCTGCACCATCTGATTCTGATGCTTCACTGCAGTGGCCTGAGCAACCGGATCGATGGCAATGACCGGGCCATGGAAGCCCCCGCAGCCATGCGTTCCACGAAGGTTAAGAGCACCAGTGCGATATCCAGGCCTCGGCTTTCTGCAGGGCACAGGGCTGATACTGGGCGGAAGTATTTTCGGCACTCCGTGCTCTGAACTTCTATGAACTGTAGAGTCTTGGCCAGGCTCAGGCTGCTGCACGTAAGAGGATCTTTGATAGCTGGAAGACCGCGAGCCAAGAATCGGAGAAAGATTTCACCTTGGGATTCCCATGCTAGGCCGCCGTACAGCTCTTGTTCACTGCCTCCCCATGCCGTCACTGGTTGCCACGTCGCACATGTAGATCAGCAGGAACCCGTTGTTGGTGATGGAGAACACAGCCGGCGCCACATCTTTCAGCTCCAGTTCCAGGCCTCACATCCGTGTAATTGAGCACAAGAAAGGCCTCAAACAGAAAGGCAATATCCACAGCAGTGCAACCGCAGGTAAGGTAGCTTCGATGAGAGACTTGGTTCAGCCTAGGCAAACTACCATTGGCTGCACTTCCGTGGTGCAAAGCCGAATTCTGCATAGCCGAGGGATGCCGAGAGAAACCTTGAACAGCCATGCCGCCATGCCCGTGTCCCTCTGCTGTCGAAGCACCGATCACTACCGAGTTTGTCAAAACCACGATGGCCATGATCGTAGCGAACCACTGCGTCTCGACCTCAGTCCGATTCTACTGCATCTCTCTGCATGTACAACCCCCTGAAGCCACCTCCCACCACCTTCCCAAAAGTTTGCGCTAGCTCGAGGGCAGGATGCCAGCGGCACTGCTTTCTGCGACGTAAGCTGCACCTTGTTCTCCTGGAAACCCAGAGGTACTGCGGAAGTTCAGCGACTCAGCTCACATCCGCTCTTTGATCGCAGCGATGAGAAGTATTTTTCGGCAAATCTTAGAAAGCCCTACTGTGAACTCATGAAGAAAGATGCAACCCTGCCTCTGTCTTGTGGTGTGCTTCATGCGCTTCATGCAGGGTCTCCGACCTGTCCCAGAATCAGCAAGACTGGCCACGAACAGCGCCTTTCTTGAAATCATGTGGCATTACTGGCGAAACATGGTCGTCATGCGTACGTTTGCAATGTAGCGTGCTTCGAAGCATTTGCTGCTACGAAAACTGGCATCGGCTGTGAAATGCTCTGTGAAACAGGTGCTGGTGAGATACCTAAGATTGAACCTGCCTGTCCCCCGGCATCTAATCCAGTTGTGCAGACGGACATCTGAACGACGCATGCAATTTCAAGAAAAACCTAGCAGCGCCGTCTACCAAAGCATCATGCCATTGCAGCTGCGGCACGCCAACATTTCGTCATCCCTGGGGCGCGGCGAGTTGAAGCAGTCATGGACACGAGACTGCAAACACACGGATGCACATGGATGCGCAAGAGATCACTATTGACTGCCACAGCTGCCTCACTCACAGTATGGTAACAACAGGCTATAGACTCTACAGAGAAAGGTCTGCACCATCAGCATTTTGCAGCAGCTGGATCTGCAGATGCAGATTGCATGCTCTGCTTGAAGGCAGAGGGGCCCAGCTAACTCGCGAGTGCAAAACACAAATGATCTCATTATGTGCTGCCGGGACACAGCCTGTCTGATTGCCTCAGCTGGTCGCACGACACTTCTGTAGTCTTTGCGGGTGTTCTCACCCCGCACGAGTCAGCTACAAGTCCTTAAGTGCAGTCAACAACTTGTAAGTACTAGTAGAAGCCAAGGTCCGCGCGGTTCACGCAGGGAGTGGGAGTTTAGGAATCAAGAATTCAGCTGTGTCACATGCAGATACATACACCGGCAGACAGCCGGAAAAGCAGTGTCATACTGATCTTTTGTTGAAACGAAACGCCTTGAACTATGCACACTACCTTGCAAATTCAATCTGCAGCCTAGTGCGGCCACAGGAAAGAAGCATGCTGAATAGAATCCAGACGAGACTCCGGTTGAGTGACCTTGCAGTTGATGCACGGAAAAGCACGCCGTCCTCCCCGTCGTCCTCTTGAAGCTCATCCTAAGCTGTCGTTCCCTCTTTCCTTTCCCCTGTCCGTACACTTTTCTGTGCAAGCAGGGCACAGTGCCGCCGGAATGTGTCCCGCATTCAAGCGTATCCGGACTGGAGGCCCTGTATTCAGAGGCATCGTGGGATCTCCAGGGCCTCAGATGTTTCAGCTCATCCTGCAGACTTCCGGGAGTCCCACGTTTACTTCATGAGTTGGGTGAGCCAGTGGCCAAAAGGCACAAAGGGGTAGGATTCGAGAAACCCAGGTCTCGACTCACGCTATAGCCTGACGAATTCGAAATTGTGGTCAAGCGTCCCGTATACCCTACATCAGCTCCACCCTACTCTTTTTTGTCCCTTTTGAGATTTCACCTCGCTGACAGAACGTGATGGAAGGTGTGGAGCAAGAAGCTGTGACATCTCCACCGCTTCCGTGCAACTGCCTGAGGATAATGCTGCTGGTACTAACAAGCTCAGTGGCCCAGCATCGGCGCGAGACTCGAAGTGTACATTGCGCAGATGCTGCAAATGCCCCCAAGGCCCCAAAGTCTTTCCGATCAGGGCTCAATGTATTGGCGCGGTTTGCTGACGGCTCAAATGCGCGTTGGTCGGGTCTGCCCGCCACTCATCTGGATGGGATGGGACAGGGACGGGTGGGCATTTGCAGGTAACCTAATCGACTTTTGTGCCGCGCGCATGTAACATGCAGGCCCTTGTCCTTTGATTCAAGGACTTCTCTTAATGAATGAAGCGGGCTTTGGCATAAGTGGACTTCTTGCGTCTCATGTCCTTACCCTCCAGCATCTGCGAACAGCGAACCTGTCATGCTGCCCTTTCAGCTTCACCTCCATGGCATGGCATGACAAAACGAACAGGGATTGCAAAAAGGCATCGCCTTTGGGAGGGACGCAGAAGGAACAGAGTCTTAGTGCCATGATGTGATGGGACCCTGGGCAGGCCGAGAGCCTGAGAGAGCCAGCGTCTGGAAGACGTTGGACAACTCTTGTCACTCGTCTCAGGGTTTAGGGTTTAGGGTTTAGGGTTTTAGGGTTTAGGGACTCGTCTCAGGGATAATGCCTTCGGATGGCCTACTTCCGAAAGGTCTGCGCCGCCTCTGCCCCGGCCAAATTCACGGCTCTTGTACCTTTGCCTCCCGACCGCCGCGAGAGGGACGAAGACAGCTGGCATATTCAAGTTTTCATACCATTGCGGTGGGGCCTTGCTTACCTGCACATTTCCAGCTCGAGGAGACAAGGCGAGAGGGATAGTTTCAAGCGCATAGGACATCAGGAACATGGGTAGGGGACTCCCATGCTTGTGGGACAGAAGGTTCAGAGAAAAGTAGCACCAGTTTGAGTTTGAAATGCAAGGAAACAGTTCTGTCGGCTGAGACCGGAGCTCATCCGGAGATTCTTGACTTGGAGGACGTGTCATCGTCCCATCCGCCTTGTACGAAGGCGTAGGGTCTGCAGATCGCGAGCCGCCATCACTGGACCCGACAACTTACCCTTGACCTAGATCTGCTGAGCACCGTCCCGGTTTTCAACCTTGCGATGTTTGCATGTTGTCTGCTTTGGGTTTCAGCACATCGTTGACAAACACGACGAGAGTCTTGTCAAGTGGGCTGGTGGCTGATTGGCTGCGTGCGCACCCATATGCATCCATCCACTCTCGTTCCACCGGTACATGTACAAGCCGAAACACTGCTGAGGATAGTTGAGGCCAAGGACTGGTGCGACTACGGTAGAACACAATGATGCTGTGCGCACCTCTGACATCAGACATCAGAGGCATCTGACGAAAGAAACTATACATATATGGCGCCCCGGAGAAGCCTGCGTAGTCGTTTACCACTGGAGGGAGGCTTCACAGCGTATAAAAGAAAAATGGCACGGGCTTCTCAGGATGATGGCACGTCCACCTGAGGCTGGGTGAAAGCCTGATAAATAAAAATATTCAAGGCCTCCCAAATCCTAAATTTTCGACAATCGACAGGTCTCGTGTTGCACTCCCTCCGTGTCGTCGAAAGGCAGACCACAAAACGCAGCTGCGGAATCCGTTTCCTGTGAAGGACGGTGTCGGGTTCTGGAATGTAGGGTGACCGAGCTCGCCTAGAACGCGCTGCCCAAGCCGGCCTCGGAGAAGGGAGCCGCACTTCGCTAGAAATGTGCAACCTGACCTGCGAGAGTCCCCAACCCTTGAAACCAGGAAAAATATGAAAAAGCCCGTACGCTGCTGCTTCAAGACAGATTGTGCAACGAAAGCCTGCGGATGCCTGCATCCCCATGCTCGCCGAAGTCTCTCGACGAGTCTCGGTGAGAAGCTCGTTTCGTACCGAAAGGTCGCAAAAGCACGACGCTGCTTCAGCGCGGCGTACTGTAGCTGTAGCTGGTGAGACTTGGCAGTTGAGGCAGCTTTAGCCGTGGTTCACGAACCTGTCTGTGTCCGTTCCCTACACGCCTCAGCTGCTGAGCTCGTGAGACGGGGAAACAGCATCTCACAAAGCGGAGCCTTTGTCCGGCCGTCAGCGGCCCATCGTCGCAAGCCGACGCAACGGAAGTACAATATGTCATGCAACGAATACAATCGCTGAAAAATACATTCCTTTAAGTCTAACAACTCTTGAAGGTCTTGCAAGCGGCAGGGCAAGCAGATCATCTCATGCTTGGCTTTGCAAGCTGCGTGGTGCACTCTGAACCTTGTCATTTCGCCAGCAGCTCAGGTAGCTCAGGACAACATGTAGAGAAATCTACGCTTTTTGCTTACATGGTGGTGGCTCCTGAAGGTTTGACGTGCTCTCGTCGACTGCTACAAGATTCTGCCCAAAGCTTGCACAATCCTGCACACATGCTTCTACAGTAGCAGTTCGTACCGAAGGACCACGCACCAAGGCCCTGGCACATATTGAGTTCATTCCACTGATGTCTTGCTCCTGGCACAAAGGAAGCACGCCCGGTAGCACCGCCGAGTCGAGCCCTCAAGTTAGAATCATCCTGAACCTCAGGTGTTCAGATGCCGAAATGGGTGGATCCTGCCTTGGGAACTGACGGCAGCTCTCCGATTTGGCAGACTGGGAAGTTCACGCTGTGACCCTGCATCCAGTGTAGGCTGACTGTCACTCCTGTCAAATTTGCTCCAGGTGCTAGCCTAATTCAAAGGACACCTTCGAAGGATGATGTGCATTCCGCCTGCTACGTGCGGCCACTAGCTCACCCATATTCTCCTGCGGTCCTGACCAACCTCGAAGATGGAACGCTGTGGTGGTCAAACCATGCCAAACCCGCGCTATTGGCCGCTATTGCTGAAGACCTAAACGAAGTTCGCCGCATGAAGGGTGTCGTTTCGAGCCGCGGTCTAATTGGAACTCGGAATGCCCTCGGCGTTCTGATTGACACGAGCAGTCTAACTGCTCCTCTGCTCTGCCCATATCCGCTCCAGAGTGGGTGTGAACAGCCCGGCCTGCTCCGTCTCAGCGTCCTGCGCCTCGTCACTGGCAATCCCACTTTTCTGACCTCCATGAAAGCGCTTTCCCCATTGGCTGCTGTAGTTTAACAAGTTCATCGCGGATGACCCAAACGCTCATACTATGCATGCCACTAAAACCAGGGGCACAAATGCGTAAGCAGTTGCCACCCGCCTTTGAAGGAGAAAAGTCGCGCAATGCTTGGATTCATTCCCTGTCCTGGGAAGTCAAATGCCGGGTCTGTGTCCAAAATGCTTACACCAGGTGGTTTCTCTTAGCCCTCCGGCCTTTGCAGTAGCATCCTTCATCCTTTTTGCACTGGCGGATGCAATGATTTTGCGTCCGTCGTCTCTACAGCGTGGCATGAAACTCTCAGGCAAGTATGATCAGCTACGGCGACGGCAGCTCTCAGTTCACAAGTTCACGTCATGACGTACTCGGACCGGAAGACTGGGTGAATTGCAGCTGCGAGCCCCTCTCAACTGGCGCAGCGCTCTCTGCCACATTGCAGGCCTGAAGGAGGGACTGCGTCCACACCACAGAGCTCTGGATCTCTCGGGTCAGGCTTGCGGCCAAGGGCACAGGGGCGGACGGCTTCCCTGTCAGAGCGAGCTTCTTGGACTGCACGGTATGTTGGGCCTGGATGGCTTCGCAGAATTTTTGGGCATCCTCGGCAATGCTTTCGGCCTCGGAAACCACCTGTGTGATCTCCTGTGCTTTCTGGAGGGTCTGGCGGATGTGCTGAATGAGGCATGCGCTCGCTGCTTGGCTGGACTCCTCTGCGCTGACGAAAGCCACGGTAGAGGCTGGGATGGCCGCGACAGCTGCAATCGGCTCTGACATGATTCGGTAAAGGGGGCAATCCTGTCGGCTCACTTGGCCCGGATTCTTTCAGTTGCAACCTGGTAACCTGTCTGAGTCTGAGCCAGAATCCAGCATGTTCGCAGTGTTTTCATGCGCTGTATGATAGACAAGACTCACACGGAGAGCATCGGAGTACTGCCGAGTAACAATCTTATTGCCAGAGCACCATGACGCCATGCTCAAGGCATGTCATTTGTGATCTGCGAGCATCGTCTGTTGCCTGGTGGAGGTTCGGCTTCGGCCACGTCCGCAGAAACCTCGGCGACTCAAAGCTCACGTTGCGCAGACGCGCTTCCCAATCGCTACAGGCATGTCGTACAGGCTACAACGAGTCCAACCCATGTCCCAATTTGTGCAAGGTGAGGCAAACACCTTGTTCCCAAATGCAAATTCCTCTGATGCTGAACCGGGTCGCACTGACTCGGCGGTCTTCTGACATGCCGTGAGGCCAACCCAGCTCGCGCATCTGCCACGGAACGGTCGGAACAGCCACCCGAAAGACTGGAAACAGCGCGGGCGTAGGCGAGGCGGGGGTCAACGCGCCTTCACCGCAAGCCTCCGATCTTCCTTGTACCTCGGCAGAATAGCGTGCATGTAATCATTTGTCTACACGAAGACCACTGCGATGAGAGGTTTCGGCTCTCTGACGAGCATATCCAGGAACAGGAAGTTCTCGAGAATGAGCACTACAGTGGCCACCTGGCATCGGGCGACTCCATTCGATTCGAAAACATGGAACTCAAAACCGGCACGCTGGCAATGCTGTCCCGACAAGTGCAATGCACTTTCGCGGCAAACCAGGCACAGCTGCAACTAGCCGGTGTCACGTGATAGAACACCCTGATGGATGGATCGGGTGTTTGCCTCTGCCCGTTCCATGAACACACAACGCAGGCAACTTGACAGCCGAGCTCCTCTCGCAACTTCGCATGCCATGCCATATCAACACCCGTCAACCACGGGCAGAATGGCACGGCACCATGCCACGCGGAACCACTGAGCGCTTGGACGAAATATTGGATACGGTGTATACACTCGTTCATCCATTCATCCATTCATGCATTCATCCACTCCTCCATTTATCCATTCATCCATTCATCCATTCATCCATTCATCCATGCATCCATCCACCCACCCATCCCATCCATCCTTCATTAAGTCGTTCATTATTTCATTTCGTTTCATGCCATGTCATGTCAATTACATTTCCATCTCCATATTATTCATTCCAGTCTATTTCATCCATCCTGCCTTCATTCCTTGCTTTCATGTCATGTCACTTCATCATATCTCATTTCGTCACATTCATTCATTCATTCATTCATTCATTCATTCATTCATTCATGCACTCCTTCATTCCTTCATTCCATGCATCCCATACATACAAACATACATACATACATACATACATACATACAAACAAACATACACAAGTCATACATACACACATTGCGATGGGCTTTTTCAGATGCAGGTACCAGGGTTCAACACAGGGGGAACGGCGTTATCAACCACTTGCGCCGGATTTACCGAGAACAGGTCAGGATAATCAGGCGCTAGACCGGGGGGCCTTTCAAGCACATGGAAAGGATGTCTCAGACACGTGCAACGGATTTAGGAGGGTTTAGGGTTGATTCCCTAAACCATAGAATACACCCTTAAACAAAACCTGCACATGTGAATGATGATGCCCGCGCAGTCCTTGATAATTCACGCGCATCTCTTTGACAAATCGCGCGCGCGTGTCTCTGATAAAACTTGCATTTATTCCCGAACCATGGCGCAATGAAAAATCAACAAGTTTATGAAAAACACAGCTCCCCATATATAACAAAACCTTTACATACATACATACATACATACATACATACATACATACATACATACATACATACGTACACTACCTACATACATTACATATCATACCACCACATGCATTCACACAGTCATACAGCCTCAGTTTCATTCATTCATACATTCGTACATGTGTACAGTCGTACAGTCATAAAGTCACTCATGCGTTCAGACATGCATAATTACGCTCATAAGTTCCTGCATTCACACGTTCATACATTCATAGATCGTTCTTTCATACATACCTACCCACGACCACTGACCGACGTGCGCACGCACATGCAACACATACGTACACATCGTACATACGTACATACGCACACACACACACAGAGACATGCCTACGTGAATGCATACATACATTCAGACTTTCAGGCAGGCAGGCAGACACACGGACGGACTGACCGACAGGCAGACAGATACAAGACTGACGAGCTGACAAACAAAACAGACATGCACTATGCACGTTGCGCACGCACCGTCACTAATGGCAGCCGAAGGATACAGGCTCGATTGGCCGCAGATAGAAACACGAAGCTTTACAGAACAGTTGACGCTGCCTAGCTCGCGTGCAACTTGAAGACAGGGGCATAAGAAATGGCATCCACTAGCATCCCCCATCTAACAAAAAAAGGTGACCCCCTCCACACAGATTGGGTGAGCACTCACTGTTAAAACCCTGGCGAGGAGGGGCGAGACTTCATCAGACGTGCCGAAAGAATGCACCACGAACCTCATCAGACTGTAATTGAAGTGAAGAGAACCGCAAATTCCTCACTGCAGCTGTTTGCCATGCAAGTGTTGATGACAGGTTCGTGTGTGCGCGCGATGTCAGCGGACACCGCAGGAGGAAATGGTGCAATGTTTCGGATACTCGGACCCAAGGGCCAAGCAAAAAGCACAGGAAACGAACAAGAGCTGTTTTCAAGAGCACAACTTGAAGGTCTCGCGCTTAGTGACAATCGGCGACACACAGCGTGCTCGCACTTACCGAGTGTGGCCAGGAAGTACGGGTGAGTATGAAAACAACTGCGAGGAGGAACTCGTTGTATGGTGACGGGAGCTCAGACCCTGCGCCTTATTGGATCTGAAAAATGGCAGAGCAAACTGCAAAGGGATATGGGACTGCGAGCATGTCTGCGAGCATGACAGAAATTGGGTAACTTAGTCGCACCATGGCGTCGCCTCGCTGCCAACATACTGTTGGTGATGTATATAGTATATAGATCTAGCTCGAGCTGCCTTCAGCATTGCCAGCAACCGTCGGGTTTCTGGAGACATGCACTTCCTCGCCCAATGCAGGCAGCATGTGCAAGGCTAGAAGAATGAGCACAGTGCATATCCTACCTGGGACTTGGAATTTCTGCTGGCTCGATTTCGAGCCATGAACTTATCAGGGCTACCCCCTGCATTCGCAGGAAGGTTGAACAGCTGCTGGCCCAATTCATGAGTGCCGTCATTCGTTGTTCTGTCCGTGCTCAGCCCGCCAAATAGCAGAAGAAGAAGAACGATGCAAGCCACTGCAGCGACGAGGAGAGGAAGCACAACCCCTTGAGACTACATATCTTCAGCCAGACAGACATACATAGACAGACTGCCAGACAGACAGAAAGACAGATAGACGGACGGACGGTCGGACGGACAGACGGACGTACATACCTACATATCAATATACCTACATAATAACACTTGCAAAACTGCATGCGTACGTAGAAGCTCATAGACATACCGTCAGCACATCTGTCCGTCCGTCCACCAAACTGCAATCGAGTCGACACAAAAACATGTCACATATGCTGGACCGATCAAACCAACTTAAGGAAAGGGCTCATCCCTTGCAAGCTCCATGCTGACCGACGTGGTAACCTCGCAGGACACTGCAAGGAAACATTCGAGCAAAGCTCCACCCGCGCCGTTGCCCTATCGGCATAGCTTCACGCATCCTTTCGGCCGCGTGGACCGAATGGCCGTACGCTTGAAATCTGGCACGCCTGCCATCTTTGACGGCATCGCGAAAGCTGGGCCATCATTCGCAAACCACTGAATGTCGGCAGTGTCAGCGTCAGACATCCTGTTTAGACGATATCGCTGCCACGGCGAGGTTGATTTTTACTGTTCGTGACATTCTTGGAATTGAAGTCTTTTGAAACTTGAAAATTTCCTACCGCCCTAAGAAGTTGACGAAGCCACCGGTTAACGCATCAGAATTTCAATCTGGAACTATGTGAGCTTGAAGTGTCTCGCGTTGTTGCGCACACTGGATGTGGCAGTTTGGAGGCTGCTCATGAGGCCCTTCCGCTCGCATGCCCACCACGAAGGCTTCCACAACTACCAGCACGAGTTTGACCAGTACCCCGTGCGTCCTGTGGCGACCACTTCGAGCTCAAGAGGCCAGCCCCAGCAAGTCCACCGAGTACTTGGCAGTGTAAGCTCCATTCGTACTCGAGCTGAGCTTCTCACAGATGGAATGGGGATGAGAGTCCAAGGCACAGCTATGTCTCGCAACAACGCAAACTCCAACTACAAGCATCCCACATTTTCAGTGCCACACAGCCGGCCTCGGACACCAGGACGTCCGACTCTCGGCTGTCGTCAGCTCAAAACCCTCAAGGTGTTGACAGCCCCGCCCACGATGGCCGAAATCAGACCGATGATTGGCAGATTCTCGTTCCAGTACCTCTGCATGCCACTCTTTGCCCGCCGTCTGGAACAGCTTGGCTTTGGAGAAGAAATTTCGAAAGTAGCCAAAGTTTCGACTCGCATGCTCGGCTCTGCTACGCAAGCATGCAGTAGTCAGCAGAGATGCTACCACATACTCCACCACCCGGCGAAGAAAGGAGGTTTGGGGTCAGCTGGGGCAACGCCTTCACAGTAGCCCTCATCAAACAAGGAAGGCCGGCACGAGTGTGCCGAATGAGATTCAAGACTCCTTCAAAAGATCATTCCCTAAAGAAAGTGCCCTCTTAAGAACAACTTGCGGTAGATCCCAATCTAAGCGTGACACATCTGAAAGAAAAGGCCCTGGCGATTATTGTCGGCTGACCCAATGATGCGATAAGTAACTGCTTTGGGTGACTGGAGCATAATGCCAGCCCTTCTTTGTGCTTGCTTCGTCTCCGTTCCAAGCTTACAGCAGTTCAAGGCTGGAAACTGCTCAGGCACAGAGCTCTGTCGGATGTCAGGGCCGTTTAATGGTGCGCTCAAGTGCGCTTCTCTCTCGTTCTCTCTCTCTCTCACGCACTCAGTCCAAGTGACCAAGTGCGCTTAGACCGTGATTTGCTGGAAGCTGTGATTCGTTCGGCCCTGCTTGACAACACGTCGGCGAAGATCCCTCCTGACCACGGACTTCACCTCCGTAGCAAACGTGCTGCCGTGCGAGCCGGGGCGCTTTCGGAATTAATTAAACGGCTCCAGTGTGCATGCTCGGGGGTCTCTGTGACACACGACAACATGAGCCCTACCTCACACTCTCCGAGATCAGCGCGAGCAAGACGGTTAATGGCACGCGAACCGCCAGCAGCAAGAGCAACATTGGCCTGCTGGCTAGGTCCGTAAATTAACCAGGAACATCTCATTAGCAACACCGAACTACAGCGAACTGGCTGGATGGTGTCGCTATCCGGCGGGTATTGCATTGGAGATGGCGGACGCCGCAGCGGGCCTCCAGAACTGCCAGAGCGGCCTCTCATCGAGCAGCCAATAGGAGAGCCTGGCCCCATGTCCGACACCAGACAAAGCCCCAGTGATGCCGTTGATATCTTGGCCGGGCCGACTCGTTGGCACATGTCCACGCTTCCCGGTAGAGGGTCAGATAGAGCGGTGCCTGGCACTTCCCTAGGACCGACTCTTGGCTGCTGCAGGCAAGCGCCTCCCAAAGTAACGTTGCCAGCCCAAGACCTGATGATGCGCAGTGCGGCGGAGCCATGCACCATGTGAACACCAGAGACTTTTTTTCCATGTGTCCCTGAGGGACAAACCGGGAAGCTCAAGCATGGCCGCCATCAGGAAAATACCGAGACAGGTCGCATTGCGAATCCAGAGCCTGAATCTAGCAGTGCGAGAACTTGATAACAATGCCGGGCTGCACCGTTCAACCACAGACCGCAGCTAAGCATCACGCACCAGAAGTGTTACCTTGCAGATTAATTTCTAACATCGAGTACTGCAAGCCTTGCAGCAGCGAAACGACGACAGCTAAGTCGACTCGCGGCTGAAGCGGTCTAAACCTCTGGCTCCTCTTAGTTCCGCCCCAGTCCCCGCAACCTTTCTTAGGTGGGCCACGCACCTCTGCCACCTCTCCTCCCCCCTGGGCACTTCCCATAAAAATAGATTTTGTTCCCAAGCCCACGACCCGACATCCTGAAACCCAATAGTCAGTCTTCACCTGCCACTGGGTCGAGGCGGATGACACGAAGAGACGCGAAGCGTTCAGAACTACAACAGGCCCATACAACGAGCAGACATCGTTACTGAGAGACTCGCCGCTTTTTCGCAGTTGGATCGTAGAGGTAGCCGACAATAACCTCCACAACTGTTTTGCAAGGCTTCCCTGTCACAAGCGCCCGCAAACATTGGCAGGTTTGCCTGTGATAAAATTGCCACAGGAGTCCAAGTCCTGCTCTGAAAGAGAAACACCCGGCACTCGACGTCTGATGGATTGTACTGTCCTCCCACAACATATTGGCATAATGACCGGCTGCGATGGCCTCTGGACACCATGAGACTCCAGCCATTCTGGTGGGGATTAAAAGAATTGCATTCAATTTCAGCAAACTCGAGGCACAGGCAAAGATCACTTGGTAGGCGAGGTTCCCGTGAAAAAGCCAATCCTGGAGGCAGCACTGCTGAAGTTTGCAACCGTGCACTGTCTACTTGTCCACGGCATCTGCGCCTCCCAATCTGATGCTGCCATAAGCATGTCGATGAGCAACGGCAGGAACAACACAGCGTTGACCTCAAACTGCAATTGTGGATCATAACATGTCGCGTCATGTTCATCCAAGGCGGCTGCAAACACACAGGCCCGGGATCGCCTGAGCCAACGACACCGCAAGAAGCAACAGCATTATACCTGTAATATCGCATAAACGCCATATCGAAACATCGCGATTGCTGAGGGGCTTCCGCTGCCCAACCGACCAACTCATTGCGTAATGACTGCCGGTTATTTTTAAGAGTCTTTAAATTAGCAAATCGCGGCGCCACTGAGCCTGGGCGTCTGCCACGTGACAAGCTATGTTTTTTCCGCCCCCCCCCCCTCCCTCAAGCACCAATTCTGCGCCTGTCCCAGTGCGAAGTGGAGTCTAGAGGAATTTTCGCGGTCGTATGGGGATATGGCCGATGCAGTCATGTCGGAAACGAAACAGGACATGCTGCATGAATCATCGTGAACCGAAAGTGATGCTTGCATGTGCTCGCAGCACATATCAGACACAGCAACACAAAGTGGCATGTGATGTGTCACATCCTCGCCAACCAAAACGCAGCAGAGTAAGTAGCACGCGTGAGGCGCTTCCTGTCCAACCGCTTGGAATGCAACTCCGAAGTTGCTTTTCCAAGCTCCACATCGTAACAACATACCAATGCATGCGGCGACGAACCTGTACACCAGCAAGGTGCGACTCTTGTCCTCCATGGCCGCGAACACCGCAGGCCTGATACACGAATGCCGACATCAAAACCAACATGCTTGGATGATTTTCTTCCGATGGAACAAGCCGAGCACCTGCAGGGGTCATTGTCCACCACGAACAATGCTTCCTTCAATGTCCTGCATCACAGAGTTGCGTGCTGTGTGTACCGCTGAACACCATAGAAACATGACACGCACGCAAATTTACGTTTGTCACGGATCGTGCCGACGGGGCTGCCCATCTTTCGTCATGGCATGCAAGCTTGGCCATAAGTGACATCGTGCAAACATGCGCAGTCTGTGCAATCGGCATGCTGGCCGCCCGCCGCCCCCGTTGCATGGGGTCGCGCGCTGCTGCGACCGTGGCATGCGTGGCAGCCCCCTCTCTTTTTGCTCCTGTCCACTTCGTGTCTGGTCAGTGGGTTTGACGGGAGCCTAGGGCCTGTGTGCTCTACTACTACAACTAGGGCCGCAGCGGCAGGCGGCTCGGCCCCTCCTCGGCCTCCGCGAGGTCGATAACGCGGTCGAGCGGTGGACCCATGATGCTGGTGGCATGCTGCGGGTGGGCCCACCGAGGGCAGTGCTGGCAACCGCTTGCCAGACAGCATGCCCGACCAACGACGCATCCAGCCTGAAGCCGCAGCGGCTGGCGGCGCGACCGGAGACGAACCAGGTCTCGCACCAAAAGTTGCGCGTCGCAGTTGAAGCGCCCTACGACCTTGCTGCCGAGCAGGACGAGCTTTTGCGGCCCTTCGCTTAAAGTGGCTGCTTCGCGTCGCTTTGCTGTCCGCAGGGCGGCGCCGTCGACATCGGCCGTACTTCGGCCGTGCATGGTTGTGGGTGCCATGCGTGTAACTGGCGATACCAGTGTCGCATCGCAGCACAGCGCGCAGCCGTTGGGCGTCACTCCGTAGATGACCACATCTACGCGGCGTCTGTCATCCGCACGCACCCCGGGTGCTGTGGTGTGCACCAGCCATTGTTGCGGCACCGACGGCTTCGTGCGCGACGCGGATCCATGTTTTGTTGTTTTTTTTTTTACTCACGCACCTTTTTGAGACAAT